ATTAACAAATAATAGTTGAATAAATGCTTAATAATGAAACCACAGGTGAGGGCTGATAGCTGTTTGAGTGCTATATTCCGTCGTTTTTCCATAAAATATTAAATATATATTTCTTTCACTTATTTTTTATTTATTTTTAATTCATTGCATGAAAAAGCATTAAAACATCTCTTTTGCATGTTTTTATAAATTACTATAAATCCGTTTTTTCTTTATTTATTTCAATTTAATTAACTATTTTTACATCTCTTTTATAGGATTTAAAAGTACATCAAAAGTCAAAATCACTGATAAAGCCATGGATTTGCTGTAAGAATTTGTAGAAACAATTTTTTAAATACATTTTCTTATAATTTCTACACTTTATTACAGGTTTACATGTTGTCAATTGAGTCACAATTAACAGGTAATAACAGGTAAACAAGTGGTATGAATGCGGGTATAAGTGTAGTTCGGGCTTAAAATGACCTCTAGGTTGAAGGGTATGAGCACTCGACAGACTATTGTTGACTTGAGTTATATTTTGAGATTATCGATGGTTTGTAGTAAATAATTGTTTGGTTGAGGTGTCAACTCATTTACGTGAATGAAAGGTACGATTGAGTTATTGCTGTCAGCTTTCAGTCAGTGATAGACGGATAGCAAAATGGCATTTCATTCTTGGCTTAAATATGGAGGCAATGATGAGGTAGTGATGAGAGCTATTGATGAATGCATTTTCTACAGTTGTATACATTTGACTGAATCACTAAATTAAGGCAACTATGGCTTAAGGCACTGAATTAAGTGAACCCCATATATAGGAGCGATTTGACACTCATTCCCACACATTTGATACATTGCTGGTAAGGCTTATGAAAATAGTGTACACATTATAGACCACTCGTGTTTGTAAAAGTAATTTTGAAATAAACATTTGTTTAAAAGTATGTGTATTTTCTTGGCTATGAATTTGCATTTAGATTGCATATCGAATGTAATTAATATTCTGTTGTGAATAATGCAATCTGTGTTTGAATCTCTCATTTAAATGAAATGTTTGACATTTTAGTGCATTTTGTAAAACATTTCCATTTATTGGTTAATCGATAAAAATAGGTTTAAATACAATCCATAATTAGATTAAAGAAAATTTATTAAAATCAAAACTTGATTACAAAAACAATGGTGTGAAGGGAGTTATCAGCCAAACATGCCTTCATTGGATCGGATGTCATCGATCTTAAGGATCATTTTGACCAATTGTGTGGCCAAACTTATCTGCTGCTTCTTACTCGTCAACGTCTCGATCACGTGCTGTACTTTCATGTCTGCAAATATTCACAATTTCATTAAAAGTTCAAATTATTTCATCAATTCATTCAACAGACCAGAGGTTCCTTTGTTGAGACAATCGATTCCAAGCCATGGGTTCTTTTCTTTGATTTGTCTCGACTTGATTTCGGTGACCGTTTCGATGGACGCGAGTCCGCTATTCTCTGCCAAAGCCATGGGAATGGACTCGAGAGCGTCGGCGAACGCGCGGTAGGCGTACTGTTCTAACGTCGAGATCTTATCGGCTTCTTCTGCCACCACAACAGAGCAGGCGATCTCTGCGGCGCCGCCGCCATAGACTATGCGGTTGTCTTTGACGAGATTGCGGACAACGCAGAGGGCGTCGTGTAGACTGCGTTTCGCCTCCTCGACGATCATCTTATTGCCGCCGCGGAGGAAGACAGTCACCGCTCGCGTGTTCTTACACTCCTCGATGACAAGCATCTTGTCTTTAGTGGTTCCGAAAGACAGTTCGCGGACAATACCGGCAAAACCTAACTTCTCGGGAGTGAGTTCTTCAAAACGCGGCACAATTCGACCGCCGGTCGCGATCGCTATCAGCTCTATCTCCGGTCCGCCGACCCATCGAACGGCTGGCAAATCCTTCTGAAGAAGCAGATGATTGGCCTCGTCGTCGAAACCCCACTGACAGATGACAAGAGTAGATCCCGTGGCCTTCACCTGATCCACCATTTGTTCAAACTTCTGGTGTTCGTATTTACGGAGCAAACGATAGTCTTCGACAGAAGTCACGTCCAACTTATGTTTGGTCTTAGGTTTTGGTGGTTCGAAAGGACACGTCAGGATCGCTATCTTCACGTTTCGCAGCTCTTTAGGCATCTGCGGGTGACTGAAGTCTTTGTCCACAACAACGCCCTTCACTAACATTGAGTCCTCTAGTCTTCCGCCGGTCTTTCCCTCGACTTTAATCAACTCAAAGCAGACATCTTTTCGGTCCAAATCGGCCACAGATATGACTGCATTGACCGCTATTTCGGCGAATTGTCTCAAACACCGGTTCACTATCTTAGAGCTCAATGTAGTCATCGCTGTCTGTATTAAAGGCTCCAAATTGTTCGCATCGACAGTAAAGCTGTCGCTAATCTTATCCAAGTGTTGCATCGCATGTCTGGCCGCCATCTCGAAGCCATCGGCGATCCGAATCGGATGAATGCCTTTGTCTACCAATATCTCCGCCTGTTCTAAGAGCGCACCCGCGAGGACTGCAACACACATACAAACCAGTAAAACAGTGGTTAGTATTGTCTCATAGATATAGGAAAGTGTATGAAAGTGGGTGTAAAAGGTCTGTAAGTCCTTCATCAGTGAATAGAGCCATTGATTGACACAAACGACGGTTCGAAGGCTTATCATATACTATGGCGTGTCGTCTGATCAGCAGAAACGAGGGATACACTAATAACTGCTGTAATTCGTCACGCAATCGGTTCCCGCAAAAAGCCCATCCCTTCCCTCCCATACAATACACCCATACATACCGACAACACCAGTGGTTCCGTCGCCAATCTCGTCGTCTTGCGATTGAGACAATTGGACCATCAGTTTAGCGATTTGGTGCTCGACGTCCATCATCTTAAGTATAGTCGCGCCGTCATTAGTGACCGTCACGTCTCCATCGGGTGATACCATCATCTTATCCAAGCCTTTTGGTCCCAAAGAACTTCTCAAAGTGTTGGCCACAGAACGCGCCGCCAATATGTGTGTCTATAAGAGACCAATCGTCGCATTAATACCGCAAATGAGTGGCCAATTACGGCACGAAATGAGTGTTTCATACTTTGATGGCTTCATTGCCGACAAGTCTTCGCTGTTTGTCCTGATCTTTGAGTATAAAGAAGGGTCGGCCGAACTCATCGAAGGCCAAAGTGCCCACAGAAGACATTGTCTACCGATTGGTTTGAATGGCAAACAATTGCCAATCAATTGATACGATAACTGAAACACCGATTGAGAGGACACGTGCTTTGGGTGCGAGTCTTGCGATTCACACAAAGCCTTATAGAAGAGTGAGAAATGATTTCNAAACGCGGCACAATTCGACCGCCGGTCGCGATCGCTATCAGCTCTATCTCCGGTCCGCCGACCCAACGAACGGCTGGCAAATCCTTCTGAAGGAGCAGATGATTGGCCTCGTCGTCGAAACCCCACTGACAGATGACAAGAGTAGATCCCGTGGCCTTCACCTGATCCACCATTTGTTCAAACTTCTGGTGTTCGTATTTACGGAGCAAACGATAGTCTTCGACAGAAGTCACGTCCAACTTATGTTTGGTCTTAGGTTTTGGTGGTTCGAAAGGACACGTCAGGATCGCTATCTTCACGTTTCGCAGCTCTTTAGGCATCTGCGGGTGACTGAAGTCTTTGTCCACAACAACGCCCTTCACTAACATTGAGTCCTCTAGTCTTCCGCCGGTCTTTCCCTCGACTTTAATCAACTCAAAGCAGACATCTTTTCGGTCCAAATCGGCCACAGATATGACTGCATTGACCGCTATTTCGGCGAATTGTCTCAAACACCGGTTCACTATCTTAGAGCTCAATGTAGTCATCGCTGTCTGTATTAAAGGCTCCAAATTGTTCGCATCGACAGTAAAGCTGTCGCTAATCTTATCCAAGTGTTGCATCGCATGTCTGGCCGCCATCTCGAAGCCATCGGCGATCCGAATCGGATGAATGCCTTTGTCTACCAATATCTCCGCCTGTTCTAAGAGCGCACCCGCGAGGACTGCAACACACATACAAACCAGTAAAACAGTGGTTAGTATTGTCTCATAGATATAGGAAAGTGTATGAAAGTGGGTGTAAAAGGTCTGTAAGTCCTTCATCAGTGAATAGAGCCATTGATTGACACAAACGACGGTTCGAAGGCTTATCATATACTATGGCGTGTCGTCTGATCAGCAGAAACGAGGGATACACTAATAACTGCTGTAATTCGTCACGCAATCGGTTCCCGCAAAAGAGCCCATCCCTTCCCTCCCATACAATACACCCATACATACCGACAACACCAGTGGTTCCGTCGCCAATCTCGTCGTCTTGCGATTGAGACAATTGGACCATCAGTTTAGCGATTTGGTGCTCGACGTCCATCATCTTAAGTATAGTCGCGCCGTCATTAGTGACCGTCACGTCTCCATCGGGTGATACCATCATCTTATCCAAGCCTTTTGGTCCCAAAGAACTTCTCAAAGTGTTGGCCACAGAACGCGCCGCCAATATGTGTGTCTATAAGAGACCAATCGTCGCATTAATACCGCAAATGAGTGGCCAATTACGGCACGAAATGAGTGTTTCATACTTTGATGGCTTCATTGCCGACAAGTCTTCGCTGTTTGTCCTGATCTTTGAGTATAAAGAAGGGTCGGCCGAACTCATCGAAGGCCAAAGTGCCCACAGAAGACATTGTCTACCGATTGGTTTCAATGGCAAACAATTGCCAATCAATTGATACGATAACTGAGACACCGATTGAGAGGACACGTGCTTTGGGTGCGAGTCTTGCGATTCACACAAAGCCTTATAGAAGAGTGAGAAATGATTTCTACAGTCATTCAGTCATTGCCTGCAATACTGCTATATTTGGGCACATTTTATGTCCTTTTAAATCATTACAACTTTTGGTACTTTTTTATACTATAACTCAAACCATTATTATATGCTTTCATACACTTATAAAAGGCTAATAAAACATATATAATGTTTCAAATTAAATATACATGTGTTTTAAGAGATTAATTAATTGATAAAAACTTATTAATTGAAATTTGTTAATAGTTGACTCAATTGAGCGTTAATTGCGATGAAATGCTTATTCAATGTAATACACAAGTAGTGGTTGACTGGTATTTAATGGTCAAAACAAATGTGCCATAAATAACGTAAGAGTATGTGATTTGGCGCTCATATTGATTGAGTGGTTGTGACGGCCATTGAAGTCATTGCAGTGAACACAAGTCAGTCAACACAGTGTGAGTGCAGTCTGTATTGTGTGAGCCATCAGTTGCCGGCCTTTCACTCCAATTCACACATCTCTTCATTGTTTGATTCAAACACTTATTAAACGGTAATTGAATTGACAATTGAAAGCACTTCTCAATTGACACACAATTGGTGTCCATTTGTGAGGCGAGTGTTGATAGCATTGACTGATTGTGTGCTTTGCAGACACTGTCGACTACAATGGGAAAGACTAAGTCGGACGACGAGACGGAGCCGAAGACAGCTGAGCCCATGGAGGAGGACGACCAGGAAGAGGAGTATGTGGTCGAGAAGATCCTCGACAAGAGGACTCGCGGCGGACGAGTGGAGTACTTCCTGAAGTGGAAGGGCTATAGCGAAGAGGACAACACGTGGGAACCGGTGGAGAACCTGGACTGTCCCGATCTGATCGCCGAATACGAAGAGCAGCGCAAGAAGAAGAAGCAGGAAATCAAAGCCAAAGAGTCGTCCGAAGGGCTGAAGGATCCCAAGAAGTCGGAGAAGAAGTTAGAGAAGTCGAAGCCGACGGACACCGAGAAGAAGAAGAAGCGCGAAGAGGAGGCGAAACCGCGCGGTTTTGATCGTAATTTAGATCCCGAAAAGATTATCGGCGCCACCGATGCCTCCGGAGAACTCATGTTTTTGATTAAATGGTTCGTCCGATTGAGTTGTCATTTGAATGGATTTACTAATGATTTGTCGTTTACAGGAAAGACTCAGAAGAAGCGGATTTGGTTCCGGCAAAACTCGCTAATGTAAGACAACATTGAATGCCTACTCTTTGCGCTGTTATAACACGTGTTGATTGTTTAGGTTAAGTGCCCGCAAGTGGTGATCAAGTTTTACGAAGAGAGGCTGACCTGGCATTCAAGCGGTGCCGACGACGGCGCCGACAAAGAGAAGGCTTAAACACATTTACCATTTATTAGAAACAAAACCATTTATTTGACATTTTTTTAACAAATCATTAATTTTTCGTTCAAAACGCTTTAAAAAAGTGAATTTCATGTAATAATACGTTCAGATCTTTTCAGAAATTATTTGTAATTAATATTTTGATGTTTTAATAAAAAAAATCAATTTTTCTGGAATTTATTCATAAGTTATTGAGAATAAAAATCATTATTAAAATTACTTTACAGTTATTTATTTCAATGACCTCTCTTTGCATCACAATCTGCACACAAATGTGTTTGTATTTGCTTTAGAGATGAGGTTTGCAAATAATTATAAACATACAAATAACGCTAGGTCATATACAACATTTGAGAGAATAGCACATTGTTTCTATTATAGTTACAGTTAATATTCCATATCTCGAACCCTCTGAAACTCGAAATTCTCTATTTAGCATAAATGTGTCAATAAAAGTGCTATCCTCTATAACTCCAACTTTTCTCATTAATAATCTATTATTTTTCCATTTTCTTCTATTACTCAAATTTTCTATAACTCAAACAAACATTTATGTCTGGACCAGTTCGAGATAGGAAGATTTAACTGTATAGGAATATAACATGTAATTTAAGTTTCTTAATTTTTTAATTGTTTTTGAATGTTTGAAACTATTTCATCACAAGTTTAGTGCAAAACACATTGAATTACGTTATTTAGCAATATTGATAAAAATACAATTCTCTGCTTATCGTACGCGTGGCTATAATTGACTATTTTTATAACAATATAATTGCAGTGAAAGTGGATTCAAGTGTTTGCGATGAGAAAAGACAGGCCTTAACTGTGAATGTATGGCAATTGAATGTCTAATTTGATTCACATATTAATGTGAAAACATAATGAAAACTTTGTATCACTGAATATGCATTACTTTGCGCTACATTTAAGAGAACCGGTATTTCTCTGAAAGCAAATGCAAACAAACTTTAAGATAAGATTATTCTTATAAACGAGAATAAAAACATATTTAATATTAAAAAAGGTAATAAAAATATTAATTCTTACGGCAATTATTACTCAAAACAATCACTTTGAATGAAATCTCAAACGTAAGCATTGATAAGGAGAGTAGGTTTTGGAGCAATCATTATAATAAAGTGTAGGAAAAGTATATTATATAATATATAATACGGGAAATGAGTTATGAATGTAAATGAGTGTAAAGTTATATAAATAGAAACAGTTATGAAGTGAAGCACTGAATGCGATGAACACATAGACTGCGAGTCAAAGCGTTTGAAGCATTGAATGCAATGAGTGTTGCATTGAATGGCATTTTGAACGCAAACCCAAACCAATCGTTCAATGATTGCTGTATTCGTTGAACATCTGCTCCCCATTTGATCCATCAATTGATCCCAGCGTTCAATCGTTTCATTGCTTGTCTTCAACAGACAGTTGTGTCCGTTAGACAACATGGAGATGAAGAATAACCACAACGATGTCGAGGGTATGCCTCGTGTTTGCGTTGATTGTATTGATTTGATTGAATGATTGAATCATTTGATGTGATTTTGTGTCTCAATAGAGAGGATAGTAATGAGTCCTATAAAGAAGGAAAAGGATTATACAGTACTCCGGATGGAGAGAGTCAGAGCCCAAGACATGGACGCCACCGATGGCTCCGATAAACACATCGCTGGCGGCACTCATACCGGACTTGTGGTCAACAAATCCATCGACGAGTCGAGTAATACTCACTAATTGTTTACTCATTTGATTGAATCAATCATTAACTGCCTGTTTGTCAACACATCTCGTCAGAGATGGACGATTGCGGTCCTCCGGAGTTGTGTCTATCGTTCAAAGTATTTCTGATAAACAGCGAGACTCAGAGCCATAACCAGGAGAACCGTTCCCTTAAATTCTGGTTCACTCCCGATGTGAGCGAAGCCCACAAAATGGGTTTCGCGCAGCAGTTCTTCAGAGATCTCATTAATCCGACAAATTTTCCCAAAGACTACATCGGATTCATTATGAAGATTATGAAATTGTTGCAAATGAAGTACACAAACATCAGGCAAATCGAAGTCGAGCTCAAACTTGTCCAGCAATTATCGGAACCGCCCGCCCGTCCCAGTAATGAATCCATTTTTACATTTTTATTGCAATTATTTGATATATTTTTCTATTCTTGTTTTTATTTGGTATTTATTATCATCTCTTATAATCGCAAAAGTCTTTTTCAAACAAAAAACTATTTTTAGTTCAATACATAAGAGTGTGAGAGAAGTACTGTATTCTTGGATTAAGTATTTAATTTAAACTTATAGTCGAAGTCTATTAGCTTTACATTGAGTTTTGTGCGAAAATTCATTATTAGCAGACAAAGTGAGGCAAACCTTATCATCAGTTCCTATCGGTTCCGTACCATTTAAATGGTAATACATTTTCAACAAAACTCACTCCCATTTAATTTGTGTCTAAAATGTGTCTAAATTTATAATAGCTTTTTGATTATTTAGGAAAATGTTTTTATTTACGAAAACACTTCCAATAAACGGTTCATTAAGTTTTAAAATAATTTTAAACTCCAAAATAAATTTCCTTAACTCTCACTTAAAACATTATAAATACTTTACAAACACATTGAAAAATACTTAGGAAATGATTATTATTTTTAGTGTTAGAAATAAACAATTTAGTTTAGCGTATAATTTATAATTTTATATAAATTGTTTGAAATATTGTTGTAAATTAACTTAATTTATCAGTTGTTGACAATTGAATCAAACAAGTTGTTGAAGTGATTGTTATGACAACACATTTAATTATAGGTTTGCATAGAATTATAAAGTGTATTAGTAATTTGATAGAATATATTCCGACACTAAACTAACATTTATGTTATTATTAAAACCCTTAACCATTGAAAATCATAATAAAATGCGATATTATATTCATATCCATAGCGTCTAAAAACGGGGTTTTAATAAGCATTGGGAATGAATGTACGGATGATAAGTATTACTACTTAAGGGACATACAGTCAACCCCTTTACCATATATTATACATCAGAGCAAATCATTGACATATAGTGAACCGATGGCCCCAAAACCGAAACTCATTGGATCAGGTTTTTGTTCTTATCGATCATTGTTTTAACATAAATGTCACACAAGAATCAATTGATGTTAGAATTGTTTGCATCGATATCTTAACAAATACTAAACCATGTAATTAACTCATCCATTGATCACTTAATGCCAAGTCTAATAACAATAATTGCCATAAAAATGACTAAAATTAAGATTTAATTGTAAAGTTTTGCCACAAATATCTAATCAAATTCATACGAATCTAATGTTTTTTAACATTTGTTTTAATATTTAGTTTGAATCGCTTTTTAATATATAATTTATAAGAATTTCATGCATAATATGTGAATGTAATTGATTTTTCAATCGTGTTTTTAGTGTCGATCGACGAGAGCTTTTTGGGTTCCATTGCAGAACTCAGTGAAGAGAAAGTACTGGAACTAATCGAGTCATCATATCCTAATCCAATCTCTTTGGCCGATATTGCAAAGTAATTGCTCTTAATTTTCTAATTTATATTCATATTTAAAATTTAAATAATTTTTTAATTTATTCCGAGTTTTAATTTTTATAAGCAATTGTTTTTTTTCAAAAAAAACAAAAACTTTAAAAAGTTATTAACCCGTAAAATGATGTCAAACTATGTTTCACGATAGGCTGAACAATAGCCAAACCCTTCCTAAACTAATATATTATATTAAATAGAATAACAAATGAATAAATGTAACAATTGTTTGGCTTTTTAAACGCACCGATAGTTCGACCCAATCGACCGAAGAAGACGTTCACTTCCATATCCAGGAATTATTATCAAAGAATTTGATCAAAGCTATCAGTGATGGCCTCTTCACGCGAGTCACACAAAACGATACTGAAGTCAAATTAGTTCGACAAATGCCTAAAGTTGTCCGTTCAGAACAGCCCACTATTGCCATCATTACTGCCCAATACTGCGAGAAATTAGCCGTCGATGCGATGATAGATAATAAGGACACATATGTTAGATATAAAACTGAAGGTAATTTACAAATGATTTAATGTCAGAAATATAACCAAAATTAATACCAATGAATTGTATTAACAAAACAGGAGAATCTAATGTCTATACTCTGGGAAATATTGGTGTCCATAGAGTAGTGTCAACTAAATTACCAACTGTTGGGCACTCGAGAGCTGCGATGATTGCGGCGGGAAATACCACAACAAGACTTCTTGGTTTGTCTGAAAAACTATATATTTGTAATAATTATTAACATTAAGGTTGACTTTTTTAAGGGACATTTCAATGCGTTGAATATGTATTTCTGGTGGGAATCGGTGGCGGAGTTCCCCATTACACAGATTTCAATCGACACGTCCGGTTGGGTGATGTAGTGGTGTCGGCGCCGCCCGATGTGTTGGGCGAAGGCGTCCGACAAAAACCATTTGTTTATATTCATTGCGAACGGATGAAGAACTCGCCGGAAGAGCGCGTCAATCCAATCGCTTCCCCCAATGCGTCCAGAGATAGCAATTCAGTCGACAATTTTAATTTCCGTTTTTGGTGTCCACCGAGTCTTGAATTGCAAACAATTGCTAAAGAGATCTATGAAAAGGGCAGCGAAACGAATGACAGAGTTTGGGAACAGTATCTTCAGGAAGGCATCGATATGTTGCACGAATCGGAGCCCGAATTTATTCGACCGGCGCCTCAAACAGATAAGCTGTATATGTCTATCGGCACTAAAGACGTGATAGAGATGGCACATCCCTGTCCTTCCACTGACGCCTACGATCCCCGAAGTCATGGCTTCCCGAAAGTTCATTTCGGAGCCATTGGTTCGGGACGTATGGCAGTGAAAGACGAACAGATCAGACAAGACATTGCATCCAAATTCGGTGTAATGGCGTTCGACTCGGAATTTGATTCCGTTGTCGAATCGGTTTTCGGTAATCGAAAAGACAAATACATATTTTTGCGCGGAATCGCCGACTATAAAGACGGCTCCCGTAAGAAGGAATGGCAGCCGTACGCCGCCCTCTCAGCCGCCGCTTATATGAAAGCTATTCTCTGCGCTCTAAGTCCTGTCGAAGACAACTGATCTTTGATTTAAAAGTTTTTGTTAATTTTTTACTCAATGTTTTATTTGCGATGATTTTTTGTGTCCAAACTTTTTTGATCATTTTTTAATGATTTAAATGAACCACAATTTACGGTACATATTATTTGATAACATATTTATGCCATCGTTTCAAATATCACATTTTATGAAAGTATTTATTATTTGAATTCATTTACAACTAATTGATGGAATTTAGGGTAGATTTCAAATAACTTTAACCACAATTTAAATGCAACAAAACTAATTCTCGTAACAATTAACAACTATACACTATAGTTATAGTGTTTGATAACATTTTTGCAAATATTAAGTCATTTAAAGGGATAATTCTTCAATTTATATGATTAATAATCAATGATTATCGATAAGGAATCTATTGTTAGATTTACCTTATTTTGAAGAATTTTATTTAATTGGTTTTATAAAAACTAATTTCAATGAATGACTGAGTCTTTAATGTTAGGCTATTGTATAGTCTGTAGATTCGTATTTATTTTAGTCATTATTATTTGATTTAATTATTATTTTTAATTTTATAAAGAATTTTAACAAAAAAACATTTTATAATTTTACAAAACGAAATGTTTAATAATTTAAGCCATTTTACAAATTCTCACTTATGTTATAATGAATGCCAAAAAGTCAACGATTTCTTCGGATATTTGTCCCCAAAAAAACACTCAAAAGTCATACGAATTCTGTGATTAACATAAAGACAAAAGCTTTAAAAGAGACAAATATATTAGTTGTATATTTACTAACCATATGATAGACACAAATGAAGGTTCATTTAGTCAACGAGTATATTATTTTGATTTTTTTGTTTGAATAAAATTTCTTGATGTAAAGTACGATTGGTTTGAATCAACATATTATAAATGTTTAGCAAACTTTTGCTCTACTTTTGAATATACTGTACTTTCAAAACAAATCTATAATGAGCTAAATATTTCACTCTGTATTGAATTAGAAATTCAATTCTATACTGTATTTATCTTCTGAACTCTATATCCGATTTTGACTACATTTAAACACTTGACTGAAACATAACTACTTAATAGTTATCCTAAAATACACATAAAACTTAAATAATTACTTTAAAATTGAAAAACTAAATTTAAATCAACGCTCAAATTAAAATTGTCAAAATATATAAGATTTATTTGGATTTAATATAAAATGTTTTAAATTAAAAATTGTTAACATATTTATGTGTTATTTATATATAATAATAATATATATCGAAATAGAGTTTAATTACTGAAATGATAATAAAACAAAAAAGATTTGATTAAATTATGAATTGTTATTTTGATTGGTGTCCGCAATGAACGCCGAGTTATTATAACTCATACTGTCTTTGCTTTCTTTAATATTAATACTTTTAAGCGATGAGACGGCAGATGAAGAGGGAGATGGAGATGAAGGCAAGGGTTGTGTTAATATACTATTCTTTTCGTTATCGATATCCTCTTTATTGAGTCGATCCGTGTATTCTTGCAATTCGTTACGACTGAGATGTGCGACAATCGCCGACCCGTAAGCGTCGCCCAACACATTGATTGGAGTCCGTAATCGATCCAAAAGCCAGTCAATGATATACACGAGCGCCACGTCCTGTCATCATAAAAGTGAAGCGATTAACTATTTTTACGCCAATTTTGACACTATCTATACCTCTGCTGGAAGTCCCAAAGCGTTCAACACTATAACCATTGTTATTAAACCAGCCTATCGTTGGGTGAAATTAATTATATTTTAACAAACATATAATATAAAGTAATGAAATTGTCAAACCTGTGGTATTCCGGCCGCTCCCACACTGGCAGCGGTTGCTGTAATGGACACAATTAGTACTTTCGCGAAATCCATGTCCAGACCTCTGGATTGTGTGATGAATAGTGCGGCCACCGCTTCGTATAGTGCTGTGCCGTCCATATTGATTGTGGCGCCGATTGGGACACAGAATCGGACGACATTTCTGTCAATTTTGTTATTTTCTTCGAGACAAGAGATAGTGACGGGAAGAGTGGCCGCAGAAGAAGCGGTTCCAAAGGCGGTCATTAAAGCCTCAGTCATTTTGCCCAAAAAGATGTACGGATTTTTGCGCGTAAAGAAGTAGTAAATGGACGGTAAAAATATAAAGCCATGAATCATGAGACCAATGGCTACGGTTAGGGCAAAGAGACCGACACTCTGTAAGAGTGCGCTCACGTCTTCGACGGACACAATTCGCGGTAATATTAAAAACATGACTCCTATTGGAGTGAATTTGATGACAATGTTTGTGATGTTTAGCGTCGCTTCGCTGAGACTCGTGAAGAAGTTGAGTAAAGGCTTTCCGTCGCCTTTCATTCTTCCGATTATGATTCCCAACACTATTGAGAAGACAACTAAACCCAAAATATTTGTTCCGCCGCCGTATGAGCCCTTGATTTTCCACTTGTAAACGTCGGTCTCATTGTTTGTGGGCATCAATGTTGTCGAGTACTGTGCAAAACAGGCCTCCACTAAGTTTGTGGGAAATAGATTCCTAACCAATACATCAATATCTCGTTAATATAGCTATTCTATGGATGTATTGAAATAAATGTTAATGAAATACCTGATCAGATCAAGAATTGTGTCGGCAGTTGTCGTAACTCTAGGCTTAGGGCCATTAGAGTGGCGTTCGGCTGAACTATTATAACCGGGTCTTATCACTAACACCAAGATTATGCCTAACAAACAATGGATTCTTTGAGATAAATTTTTTTAGATAAGAATGTATTTAAATGGAAACAAACCCAAAATGATTGCTAAAACAGTTGTCGCCAAATAGTAGAGAACAGCTCTCTTCCCGATATGACCCGAAAGTTTTGTGTCCAGATTTCCGAGCGATGAGATGAGAGACGATATAATTAGCGGTAATATAAGACACTTAAGCATCCGAAGGAAGATATCTCCGGGAAATTCCAAATACATTAGAGATCTTTCGCTCCATTGATGTGTAAGACTTCTGATGATTATTCCGATGACAATCGCTAAGACAACAGCCGATAGTGTGGCCAAAGCTAACACATTCTGGCGGATAAACGTTTCGACTCGACTTCTTCTGCTGCTCGGGTCGTATTCAACGGTTCCGTATTTGGTTTCCGTTAATGAATTGTTTTTTTCTTCACCCATTTGTATAACATTTTGTGTCATTTTTAAAAAACTTTTATTTTGTTTAACAATTTTTTACATGAATTTTATATTAAATATTAAGTATTGAATTAAATGCATCGATAATTAAACAAATTATATTAACATTTATTTATAAATAATACTTAAAACAGGAAATCACGAGTGCAATCAAAATAAATAAAATGTAATGTTGTTATTTATTAATAATTATCAATTTATGATAAAAGTTGTTATAAGTATTGCCAATTGGAGAGCGTATTCAACACACAAAAGCCAATTCAAACTTTTAGCTGATAATTAAAGTTTAACATAACATTAAATTTTCCAACAACTTTGAGACTTCACTTTATATCCAAATATATGTTTAATTAAATAATAAATACAACAAAAGATGAGAATAACCCGGAATTATACGAATGTTTGCACAGAATATTACTGTATTTATTTAGTGGTATTCATAGCCAGAGTGAATGACGGGTAACTCCTATCAAAATTAAATGATGAGTTGTTTCGCACAAAACTAATCCAAACCAGTGGTTAGACTTTCACTTCTTTTATGACAAGTTATTTGCGCTCAAAAACAACAGCATTAAAGAGATCCTTGAATTTTAGGAGAGAATGAATGCTTATTATCCAATGAATTCGTTATGAAATACAAAAGCCAACCAAAGCCTGAAAATCTAGTTTTCGATACCAAAGAGTCGACTGAATAAACACTAAACGCATTAGAAATTGAAAGCACTAGAAATCTAATTAAACAAATATTTTTGAAACATTTTTGCTTACGAACTCATTTGTTAGTCCACTAAATGTTTGTTCATTTACAGGCAATAAAATACCGATGAAAACAATAATTAAAACAAATCATATGAATTTATTGACAGTATATTGTAAATATGTTTTGACGCCCCTTTCAAAAGCAATTTCAATAACTTATTTGTCTCTTAAGTTACAGGCAATAAAATACCGATGAAAACAATAATTAAAACAAATCATATGAATTTATTGACAGTATATTGTAAATATGTTTTGACGCCCCTTTCAAAAGCAATTTCAATAACTTATTTGTCTCTTAAGTTATTCAACGAAATCAATAACTTGTTAAATAAACTTTTAGTTTCCAAGAATTTACTACTTATTGTTTTTGTTTAATGTTTTTTCTCATTCCAATCAAGGATTTTTGGTTTTAAAAACAGATTCAAGTATTAGATTAACACATGACTTGAATTCATTAACAAATTCTTCTTATGTTTTCTTTGTTTGTGATTTTTATATAAAATATAATTATAATATAAAATAGGAAAATACCGACGTCTGTGTATTTTGAGGACATTTGATATAATATTATTTAAATATTACAAAAAGTATGTAAATATTGAAATAGTATTGTTAATGATTAACGATTTTATTACTGGTAATCTTTGGAGACATCAAAACCAAAATATATTTACCAGTTTGAAATGTCTTCGGGTCTTATGATAAGTCAATGTCTTTACATTAGATATAAGTTAGTTATATATTGAATGCGAAGAAAACTTTTTTGGGGTTAATTTCAATTAAATTTTAGGAAAAATAAATGTGAGAAAAGATGTTTCAGAAAAGCTTTCACTGATTTAAAAATATTTTTAAGTGCAGTTATATTACGCATAGGTTTTTATTAATGCTTTTTAAAAGTTAACTGATTTACTGATCACTAAATTAAATTGCTTTCTATTTTGCATTTGAAAATCAAATAAAAATTAAACAATTTATTACTATTATTAAGTTATGATTTAATGGTTTTGATTTTCTTTCTGAAACTTGCAAATTATAAGCAATGATTACACTTTTGTTGATGTAATAAAATCATTGTTGAATTTGTAAAATTTTAAAATAAAACTATTTGTAATCAACGAATCAATTAATTTTCAAAGTTTTAATAGTTTGTGTTAAACACAGAAACTTAGCATTTGATAGATTTAATTAAACAATTATTAACACATTTGTTAAGACATTAATTTAATATAAAGATAAAATCATACATAAATACAATTAAAATTGTTATTTTTTGATATAATTGTTACAATTGTTATAATACAACAAATTATAGAATATAATAACTCATATAATGTGAGTGATTGTCAGTGATTGAGGTCGTCTTGTGTTCAACACGTGTTTTATTTTGTATTTTATTAACAAATTGTTTTTTCAATGTACAAAATTAAATTATTTTGTAAGACATTTAGGCAAATATAAACCACATCTTCTAACCTTAATGTTATTATAATTTTCTCATTAAAATTGTCATAAAAATAATTTTCTACTTTCGTTTATTATCCAAAAACTATAAAAACAGTGAAAACAATAGTCTTTTGTGTGAAAATGAATGGCAAATCATTTAATGATTAGACGTCCGCAACAACTCATTTGCATTAGTTTTTCATAATTACAGGTAATGTTACCAAAGGTAGGACTGGGATGCGAATTGAGGGGCAAACCTAATACATGTGAATAACATTTTGATAATTTCCACTTTTTATTTAAAGTTTTACTCATTTAAGTTGATTATCATTTTATGTTTTTATATATAATTTATATTTTTATTCACGTATTATTCAAAAATAAAATTGTTTAATAAAGTTTTTATAATTATTGTCGTAACAATTGTATATACAGTTAGGCCTATAGTAAACACTATTGACAGCATATCATTAACAGTACGTATGAATTATGCAACCTTGAACATTTCACCTCAATTTTACAATGTATTCAAAATATTTCATTCATTAATAAGAAAAATTAGATTTGTTTCATAAGACATAAATGTGATACAAATGTGGGAAAAGTGATTGCAGTTTACATTTAATCATAATTAATAACAAATAGTTTTATATTTTATTTTGTTATTAAATTCCAATAAACACGTGATGCTGAATAAAAATTATTGTAGATAATAATGAGAAATACATTTAAACCAAATTAATTAAAAGCTTGAATGATGTGGTGATTGGCCTGAAGTGCAAATTCACATTACAGTTAAATGCATTTTAAATGTTGGGATACTTAGCCTTCGCATCACATTTTATTCATAATATTTATAAAATAATAGTTTTTATGTTTTTTATTTTCAAGGATTATAAAAGTTTTTTGTGATTAAGTATTAAATCATTTCTGAAAACATCGTTATATTTAGATTTAATGTATAATTGGGTTTACAATTGTTTTTATTACAGATTAACAAATTAACCATTAGTTTTGATTGAATGCAAAGCATTTGCTATTTTCTTAATATTCGTGTCATTAATAGCGGCGATATTAATGCGACCGTCGGTTGCGATATAAATAGCGAATTCATGTCTCAATTGAATGGCCTGTCGTTCAGTAAAACCCGTGAAACCAAACATTCCTCTTTGTTTTAGGAGGAAATCCCACACATATTTGCCTTTAGATAATCGGTTCAATTCCTGCACTAACTGTGATCTGATGTCTGATATTCTCGTTTGCATATTCTTCACGTCATTAAACCATTCTTTCTTCAACTGGTGATCATTGAGCAGAAGAGTGACAAGTCTTGCGCCCCAATTGGGCGGATGTGAATATATGGGTCGTATTATTCGCTTCAATTGTGTCAATACATTATCCGCCTCTTCCGATGTCCGACAGACAACACTCATCGCTCCGATTCTTTCCCCATAGAGACCCATATTCTTGGAGAATGTAAAGGCAATCACCAATTCATCCATTTGTTCAGCAAATAGTCTAATCACTCGCGTGTCTTCTTCGACAGATCCCGACGTAAAGCCCTGATACGCGCAGTCGAGGAATGGGAACAAATGTCTTCGTTTCATAAGTCGTATAATTTGTTGCCATTCATCTAATGTGGGATCATTTCCAGTGGGATTGTGTGCCGTCGAGTGTAACACAACCACTGAATACTCGATCATTGTCTCCATATCTTCCATAAGAGCGTTAAAGTCGAGACTTAAAGTACTTGAGTTCCAATACCTGTAGTGATTGACGACAAACCCTGAATGAGAGAACACCTGATTGTGTGCACTCCATGTCTGCTCCGGAATGTAAACCTTTTTGCTGTGAGACTGGAGTTCGTATAGAAATATGGCTCCTATTCTGAGAGATCCGGTGCCGCCGAGTCCTTGAACCGTCGCATGTCGTGTCCGTCCGATGACATCGCTTTGCTCTCCAAATATAAATGAGGCGACAGTTTGGCGAAAGTCTGCGAACCCTTCGATGGGAGCGTATTCTTTGTGTGGATTCTGTTTTATAAGCATTTGCTCACACTTTACAACACTCGGAGGGATAAACGGCTTTCCCCTCTCATCCCTATAAACACCAATACTTAGATTGATTTTGTCGTCTCGTTTGTCGCCCACATATG